AAAGATTTTTTGCCCTACAATTATAGAATAGAACGAAAATGGATCCATGTTTAAGTATTTAATGGCTTAAGAATTTATTTAAATTATCATTATTAGCAAATTAGACTGATATCTATTCTGAATAAGTGATAGACTAATTGCTGCTTCCTAAGCTAGAATATTGTCATCTATCAATCGGAGATTGGACTAATGTCATAGATAAATCGACTGTTATACTAAATATATAAAAGTAAACCAGAATTAGTGCGAAAAACTGTAGAAAATCATAAATGATTATTCAAAAAGTATTAATGATAAATTAAATCGGCTTCTTCATAGAGGCTCAAATAGGCCAATGTGTTAATCCATTCAGATTAAGATAATAATGAACCCTACCTATATTGATATATTTATCATACGGGTATGTGCGAATAGTCATGTACTGCAATTACTGAATTTTAGAATAAAATTATCTAAGCATAAATTAAGCTCTAGTGAGTAATAGATTTAAATTGGAACTTAAGTAACTAATTTAACTAACAAAATGCAAATGGTTGGTCAATTCATAGAAATTACTATGGGTCATTTTGACTCGGTTAATATTGTATCATTGCGCTAATAACGAGACGTTACTAAACACCGTAATCGCTTGTATATTCCTTCATGATCAAATCGTGACTTACATCTAGATGTATCTAATTTAGCCAAGATAGTCGTAACTATTAAAAAAAATATTAATACAGATAGGGAAAATGTCATCCGCTTTCTGATGTCAATCCTAGAGCAATTAATAAATTCATAAACTACAGCTCAAACGACCTTCCATATCAGTAAATTTTAAAACATTTAGAAAATAAATATTAAATGATATTTTATTTCTATGGTATCTTACGATTGCAACAAAACAATGTTGATTGCGCTTGCAAGCAAGTTCGGAAACCAATAGGCCAACATTAAGTAACTCTCTATAATATATTGAATATGCGTTTCTTCCAGCTTGGCTGAGAAGTACTGCAACGTAGAATATTTTAATTGATTCATTGAAACTCGTTAAAAAATATTAAATTAAGACTATCAAAGCAAATTAAGATTAATATAGAAGCATCGCTAAACTAAATAACTCTTTTACCCCTGATGCTGTAATAAAGATGCGTGAAGGCATTTCGCTTGCGATGCCAAGGATGATGAATAAGATATACACGATGTGATATCTGAAACATAAAATTATAAATCCACTTGATTTCTATAAAACTATTAATCAACTTAAGTAATGCTAAGGATCACGAATAAGAAATACACTATATAATATCTGCAATATAAAGTTTTAAATGCATCAGATCGCTATTAGACTATTGATCTTTTTTAAATTAAGCCATATACTATTAAATCCAGAGCCAATAAAGATAGAAAAAGTGCTGTAAATATTTTTAAAATAAATTCAATCTATACCCGAATGATTAACAGATTAGTATTTGAAGTAGAAAGGAATAAGTTAAAGTTCACATAAAAAAGTAGATCAATTTAAACATTCTGTAGAGTTACTATAGCAAATGAAGGTTATCCACATTGCGTGATTACTTAGAAAGTGATAAGTAGGACATGTTGTAGTACTAAATTTAGATCATCAGCATTAGCTACCTTAATTAAACAAGTTTGTAGAATTGCTAAAACTGAAATCAATTTTCTTCTTAAAATGTTAGCTTTTAAACTTGGGCACTCAATTTACGTTAAGTTTACAATATTCGATGCTCGAAAGAGAGAATAAATTATACAAAGATCATATTGATAAAAATATAAACAGCGTAATAAAGGAATAACACCTAAAAATAATTGCCCCTTAATCGCATAGAATATGTGTGCCTCTGAGAAATTATAGCTATGTATTACTAAGAAACATTTCCGTTATTCTTTTAGTAAAATGGAGCACAAGTAGAATTTGCCTTTACTACAAAGCTTGTAAAGCGAAATTTGAATTTAAATTACTGGACCAAATCCGTAAGCAGCCATTAAAATAAAAAGCATGAGTAAAGCAAAGATAATACTGGAACTAGACCTTACATCAATTTTATCTACGTGCACGACGATGTCAAATTTAGGTACGTTATAGAATGACTTTCTAACGCCCATTTGCTAACTAAAAGTTTGCTTAAATTATACTATATCTACTTTTATTCTTTTATGATGTGAACAGTAGCCTTCTGATTGTTTCATCGTGAATAGCATACTTGTAAACTCTCAGTCTAACTTGGATGATGGAATTAAATTTATGTTGCAGTCATAATATGAAAGAGCTTTAGTGGATAGCGTAGTAAGTTCAGTAAAATTAATGTTACTAAAATATTATGTAATTCATTTGTAGGTCGTAATTTTAATCTTGATTATAATTCTTGTAAACCCCAGATTTACTTTGATGATGATATAAACTTATATTTCTATAGCAGTCATAATACAGTATTTAAAAAACATCAGCAGAAGGTAATATCTGAAATATAATTAGCATTACCGAAACGTTATTTTAACCCACTTTTAAATAGTACTTTCAAATAAATCGTATGACAACTTTTATTTCTTGAAAATTAGTAATTTTAATCTTGATTATGGTGCTTTATAAACCCCAGTTTTCCTAAGATGATGAAATAAAATTACGCGTACGAGTTTACAGTAGTAACAGTAAGTAAAAGCATCAGCAAAATGGGAATATCTAAGATTAGTTTAGAGTTATCGAAACGTTGCTATCACTCTGTCACAAAACAGCTTTGCAACAAGATAACGTAATGTACGATCAATAAGTCAATTCCTTGAACCACGTATCAAGGAACGATATCTGCACTATCAGAAACACTTTTGCTCTACTAGCAGACTACACAAAGACTTTAACGCCTC